TTCGAGGAAAAGAAAGGTAAACCAGTTCGAATACAGTGAGAAGGAAATAACATCTAAAATGAGTGAAATATCTGTTACCGGGTATATTCAGAACATTGACTTCCCATATTCAAACTGATTGTTCGTTGTGCAATCTACTCATGATTTTCTATTGAAAAATGTGTATCATTAACGTCTGTAGACATTTATTCGTTCGTTCGCTTCTGTTGTTACCAGCGTATGTTCAAAGCGATTGATACATTCGTCATGACCGTTGTTGGTTGGACTAAGTTCAACTAGTGATGCCTTAACTTGAATCAATGTGGATTTGAACCCTGCTTTCATGAAAGCGTTGATCAGTNGGCTTTCATGATACGTTGCTCATCTTCGATCAAAGACAAAACATATTCCAATAAATGTTTCCGAAACGAACATTTGAAAGACCAAATAACGCACTAATCCATTGGTTGTAACATCAAAGAACAGTTCGGAGGGAACCGTACCAATTTGACGTTGGAAAATACTGCGGCTTGGTTATGGTAAGGGGCGTTGTCCATAAATAGTAAAATAGATCGTCTTTGAGAAACCATTTTGCGGTTGACATCGGACAGCCAACTGTGAAATAACGTAGAAGTCATCCATGCGTTCTTTGAATAATTATAACTGCATAGAAGGCTTTTTCTATCTACACCTCGGAGGCATCCTGGAGTTTGAAACTTTCCGATCACCAAGGGTGATAAATTTTCTCCAGTCATGCTCCCACAAAGCCGTAACGTGACTCTTTCTTCGGATTTCTTGGACCCAGAAACTGTCTCCTTTCAGACTCAATATCCTTTCTGGGAGCTGCCTGTAATACAAAACTGTTTCATCTACATTGAAAATATCACAGTCAGCATATCTTTGTATCAACTGCGGTAACCCCGCTCGAAACTCGTCCGCTGCATCACGTGGTAGCGCTAAACTTTCCCCACAGACCTATAAAGTAATGCACATGAGTTGCTTGTTTCTTAGTTTGTACGACTGAATACCATATCTGTCTGACCAAGAGCGAAACCAACCTTTGGAATCCTTGAAGTCATTATGATGCAATCTTGATGCTAGCTGGATTGCCTTCTTATGTACGATGCTCTCCACCATTGGGGACTCTCCGTGCTTTTTCCTCATTGCGCTAAACCAAGCCAAAGTTGTCTCATTCACTGCCTTGAACTTTTCGTTTGTTTTCAGGTGGCATCGTCCCTCAGATGCACCAGCATTCAAAAATTCCCCGATAGTCGTTCGATGGAATACAACGTTGTAGACAGTTTTTCGTGAAATTCCAAGTTACTTGGCTACGGAGCTCTGAGTTGCACCTGGCTGTTTCAGCAGTTCCAACACATTCTGCTTCTCTCTGATCGATAGGCGCTTGCATATTTTGACGTCAAATGACACTGTCTCCGATCACTTGCATCGGTGTGACTTCGAAAGGATTATCCAATCAGCGAACAGTGCCATGAACGCGTCACACTAGGTGCACACCATAGGTTGAGTGCGACATTTCAGGACGGATGGTCAATGGTCGTCCCGAACATCGGTCAACGACCAAGTGAGTACGTATCAGGGACTGCGGCATATTTGGGGGTGCGACATCGCATGGTCAGGAACTAAGCCATTAGGCATACAATTGGTTTGGGTTTTCGAAAAAGTGGGAAAATGTTGGAAAATGCGACTTCTCAGGGGTACGACATAGCAGGAGATTGACTGTAGTTGAAACATCGTTTTTTTTCTCATGCTGCACGGTGGAGAAGCTAAATCTGTCACAAAATCTAGCAAGAATTCTAGAATTCTTTTGAATTACGAAGAGTAATTTGCTCAAGACCTCCAATAGTAAGGACGTGATATTAAGTTGTTTTACAATTAAGTAGTGGTCTGTTCTTCGTCAAAAATCAAACGGTGAAAATTATATGGTTCAATATTTCATCTCTAAGTGCTTGTGGCAGACAGCCCACTTACCGACAAGCTCTTTAGCACACCCTATTGAGGCTTTATGTGATTTTCCACTTCAAGTCTCAAGTTTAGTTTACTGGTCATATCTCACATAAATGAACAGTACAAGTCAACTTAATGAGCGCATGCACACTCTCTCACTAATCCCAACAACTTTGGTGGCTTGAATCGTAATTTCGATTCTGTAGCCCACTTTCTTCAGTCTTCTTCCCCATTTTTTTGATTGAAACACAAATCTGTTCCCCATCAGATACTACTCGTCTGCATCTACTCAATTAACGCCTCCGTTGTTTTCCCCGAAAGCTGTTATGTTCATCATTCTATCTCTTCTTCCTGACTTTCACACCTCGATTCATCCAACCATAAATTTCAGCTTATTTGGTTGAAACTTCGGTTTCCTTCTTTCAACCACTATTTTTGTACCCGTTACTGCTCACCGATCTACAATGATCCTCCCATCTTTGATACGCTATATTCCAACACTGAAACATCCAAGATGATAGGTATTAACAGCCAAATTACCATTGTCGAAGATTTCAATGTTCACAACAAGGAATGGCTGATTCTCTTCTTAGACACTTCATTCGCCGGACGCGAAGCCGAGGCTTTTGCTGTGATCAACTAGTTGACTCCTCTCTCATTTTCGATCGTATTAGTGACCGCTCCCATACCCTCATTCTCACATTGATTTCCTTTTATCTCTCTAACACTTCTATTTCCTCTTGACTTACGGGACCATTATCTCATTTCGATCGTTCTGTCTCACCTATCTCCAGACGCACCTTTTGGCTTTACGACCCAGCTAATTGGGACGGTTTTCGTGACTTTCTGGATTGCTGTCCCTTGAATGACTGTTAACTGTTGTTTCAGGTCTGATGTCTCCACTTCTGTGTCAAACTTCGCTGACATTATCCTTCAAGGCATGCATTTTTATATTCCACATTTTCAATCCCGGCCAACCACGATCCTTTGAGTGATTTACTCATACTTTCAACCGTGATGTACTCAACATTCCGTCGTCGGCGACGCTCACCCATACCTACATCCCACAAACACTTCATACAAGTCAGAAAAATGCTCGCTCACCAAACAGAGAGCTAAGTAGTGTTTCATTCGCCACAAAGCAGAGCGCCTGGTTTTGTCTGATACTGTTGACCTTACATTTTTGTCCCTCACGGAAGCGGTTTCACGTAGTTTCTGCCCTTTCAGCTTTCCTCCCATTTACAATCCCTCTGGCTCTTTGATTTGTGAACCCCCCGACAAAGTAAACATCTTCGCTTCCCAGTTTGGCTCCAACTCCAGCTTATGTACCGACTCTGTTATTGAACTCCCCTTCCATATATCCAACCGCTCTTTTCTACCTCATGACAAGCAGACGGATCCGCTGTTCTTCGTTGCTGTTCTCTTTCTTACCGCACGGTCCACCAGGTCACCACCAGTATCGGTCGCGGTCATTGGTGCTTCTCTTGCCTCCGATCTCGGACTCGTCTTCGCATGGGGTTCTACCAACCATGTGTTTCAATGCCTCCAAAACTCCTCCCTCTTAAACATATTTCTCATTCTCCTTGATTGATTTTTGACTCGCTTCCTCCTTCGTTTCACATATTCTGTCTCTGCTGGTTTCCTTTTATTTCCACACTTGCCTCTCGCGCTGCGCGCAAAGTCAGTTTTTTTCCCGTGACAAGCGCTTCTTTACACTCACGCACATTCTCCTTTTATACAAAGCTCAAATCCGCCCAATGCTCGAATATTGCAATCACACACATGGTGGAGCTTCGTATTCCGTTCTTTCTCTGCTCGACTGTGTTCAAGGTACGATCACCCGGTTGATCAACGAGCAATCTTTGACTTCACATCTGCGTTCACTTTCCCATCGCCGGGCCGTTGTTTCATTANTTTCATTATATCTTTGGTGGTGGTGGCGCAGTGGTCTAGTCGCTGTCTAGGCGTGCTTTGGACCCTTTGGTCTGAGGTTCGAGTCTCGCCACCTCCACCCAACTTTGGAGGTATGCAGCATTGCTTTCGTCCGGTTCAATATCACGCCCAACCTATTGGGTCCTTTTGTGGTTCGCCACTCCAAGTTCCGGGGCTTATGTTGCTGGTTTCCATCACTGAACAGCAGGTCCTCTTGACTATGGGGTTTACTCCGTCTGCTGTTCGTCACACAAAAACTTTGTAATAAAAAATATTATTTTGGTTTCCGCTCTCCTGAAATCGCTTCTGCTGTTCCTTATCCTTTTCTCGTCCATCGCATTGTTGAACAAGTTGTCAGGTTTCTATTTCAAGATGTAGGACTTCAATTCCTTTTTTCAGGACTGTGACATTGTGGAATACTCTTTCCATCTCTGAATCTTGCTTTTCTCAAAAGTAGGACTAACAAATTGGTTCTCACCAGAATGTTCCCTCACATTCCGTCCTAAAGTATATTTTGACCATGCGGTTTACACCTTTTGCTGTACATCACTTTTTGTGTAATAAAACAAGATATCGATAGTCTAGGGGTAGAGCGGTATGCTACCTGGTGTGTTCCCTAGTTTCAAGTAAGCGAATGACCATCAAACTGATGTCAAGCCGCGAAACGGTACCTGGGTGTGTTGAGTTTCGGTTGACAAGCGTCCCATCAAAGCAGTCTGTTGATGGTACTGTGACGTGACGAATGCTGCTTACCAGGATTAGGGCTATCGCCTCTTGTACAAACTGGACTGCATTAAGCCCATCCGATGTATTTTTTTCAAATAAGGCGAATGAACCGTTCTGCTGGTCACTTACTTAGCTGGAGCACACGTTAAATTGGCATTTGTCTGTGTGCAACGCGGAATAAAATGCTGAATGGTGTTGGACAATTGCTTATAATTCTGTTCTCGATAATCTCTATGAGTCCGCTCAGTCAATACGATGTCCCACAATGTCTCCGTGACTTGTGGTCTTAGCGATAGGGGACGATATCGGGAACTCATGTAACGGAAACCAATCGTCGATTTACGTTTACAACTGACCCGGAAAGCGGAGAAAAGCAGCTCTCCGAACTAAAAGATGTAAATCTGCTTTACGACGCTCGTTGCTGAGTTCGATAATTTCTGTGTCCAAATCCCGATTTTCCGTAGAATAGAGGCTTCTTGCAATGAGCAGAAAAATTTCATGACATCCTGATTGTTGTTTTTCACAATTTAGGTATGTATTTATGGTTGTTTATCAAGTGTTGTTATTGCTATTCCGTATAATGATGAACCTTTTGTCTCGTCAAGGCTATCCAGCAACGTAATGAATTCCAGTTTCCGTCATCGGTTTCATGTTCCACCGTTCTTTCCTATCGCATTCCCTGCCACGCTGTATTCAGGCCATACGGGGTGATGGAGAAGACACATTAGAATGTTTAGAGAAACTACAAGACTTGATTCCATCGTTACCGAGGGAAAATCGTCGATTGCTGCACTACTTGTGCCGCTTCCTCAATCGAATCGCTGCAAACGAGGCTTTGAACAAAATGTCCTGTCAGGGACTTGGTATTCTGTTCGGTCCTTGCGTTTTCCGCTTTGACGTGCGCTCTCAAGTGAGTCCCCCCGCCTGTTTCTTGTGCACTTCGCCTCTTGTACATCGTTTCTTACAAAAACTTTTTATCTTGATCTCCAAGATAGTAGTTATGCGTTACTTAGGCACAAAAACCGAAACAAACAGTCAAACCCTTTACTCTACCGCAGGGCTTTACACAAATGACGAGAGTGTTGTTTTCATCCCCGTTTGTTTTTCGTCTAATCATTCCTTCCGGGTCGCCTCTCATACAAAATCCTGGTTATTGGACAGTTGATGTCCAGTCAATGATCACAGATTCTATCCACTAGATTCCCATCGTTCATACCCCTTACAATTTTCTTTGGTGAAAACTATCAGATACATTTGCACAGTCACACCCGGCAAAACTACTAGTTTCCGCCAAGTCTATTCTCATCAGGTATAACTTACTTTCTGCAACTACTCAGGGGGGGGGGGTTGTATCTGAAAATCACTTAGTGATAAGAGTGTACTATCTTGTCCAAACACATGCCAATCCAGTATTTCAGAATCCTGAGGCTAGAATCGCAACATTTCAACCGTGTGTTACACAAACGGTGAATGGTAACGTAGAAGATGTCGAGTGGTTTATTAGGAACACAACACTAGTCTTCATCTTTGCTACTATCTATTTGCATTATACTATTTTCCATCATCCTAAAACGATTTCTTAAAAAAATACGTTACGAGATAGTTTGTACCCGAATGGCGAGAAATAATTTCCGTGCAATTTCATGGCCGTTACTTTTGCTGTTGCTGTTCATCAGATCTGCCTATCCGGTATTGCTGTGTCTAGTTGTTAGCACGTTTGTACTCGTGTCCAGTTTTTTCTTACTCCGACCCATCGTACCATCCATCTTAATGACCCCCTACGGAGGGCCGGTTCACGCAACAACAGCCAAAAAACTCCTAGTTGTGCGACGAAATCACTTACAATTTTTTGAATACCAGCTCCAAAATCTCAATCAGTAGTGTATGTTGTCTGTTATGCGGAAAGTGTGGAAATGCATAAAGCGATTACTTGTCTAGATTTGACTTGAATCAGCTGGAGGAAGAGGTTTATCACAGACTGTGGTTTCGGAGGAAATCACCTCCTTAATTCACCTAGCCTTAATGATGACACCAAATTCCACCAGGTTTCCAATAATCCGATTCCCTTAGATCACAAATTTGACCGCGTAGGAACTAGGATTAGAGTTTTTAGAGAAAATTAAACAAGATCAGAGAGCTTGTTGATTCCGTAAACTTTGAATAATTTGGCGAGTGTCTCCACCGAGTATCCATAAAGCAAACTCTCGGTTTGGCAAGAACTCACTCGTGGTGAGGCTAAAACGACATAATATCGGAGTGAGCCTGACTGTTTGTCAATTTTTAAAGGGTCTGGAGCAAGTTAGTTCCTGTTCAGTTACGAAGGTTCTTTCGCACTCAACTAGATAATTATAACTTTTTTATTGCCAACGAAGGAGTTGATTATGTAAATTTCACATGGGTCTTTTATGTTACAAATAATACTGAAGATATTAACAGGTTAGCATTATTTTTAAGCCTCAGAGTGAGAACAAGCACTGGACAGGTCAGAGAGAGGGTTTGCGATATATACTGGAAACTTTAGGACATTATATATTTTGAAGTCTTTGTATTGTGTATGACTTATGTTAGCCTACACCCTTCCATTTCCAACATGCGCTCACCGTCATACACCAGAAAAGCAGAGAAAAGACGCTGGATTGTATTTCAGTAGTCACACAATTAACCAGCACTCCACCACAATTCACTGGTAACTCTTTGTTTGTTGAAACACGTGCCGAATGAATTCTTTTGTAAATAAATTCGAGAAAGAATATATCGGAAAGTGGATAGGATAAGAACGAACATAGAAGTGCTTTTGGCTGTTGGAATCAGGTATTCGTAACAGTGAGCCGATTGAAGTCCGCAAACGTAACCCTGTGACCCAGTGTTGAGGTTCTCGGTGCGTGTACGGGCCATCCCGACCACTATAAGAGCACGGAATGCGTCGCTTACCAAGGACGTCCGACCAGGATCGGTGCTCATTTTATAGATCCATAAATATAAATCCATAAATATACACGAGGAATTTATACAAATTACCAACCACAGTGCCATTAGGCTTTTGAGCCAGTAGGGCACTTCAGGCAATTTACTACCGGGCATTCCGGATTGGGTTGTCTTCGGGGTGCTCTACCCAGAGCATTTGGTCGAAAGGACACCGCCTGAAAGGCGGCAGGGCAAGATAGGTTCCATAACCCTTTGGGAGCTGATGATCAATTTGCCAGTTCCTTCGATCGCTTTTGACCATCGATTAAACATTCCGATTAAGTGCCGAAAGTTACGAATGTCAGTTCGTACATCTCTGCTAGGCTACAGTATCCAACGAGGAGGCAATAGATCATGGTTCTTTTTCATGGAGAGGCACGACTTCTACATCACACCACTATCTTCACAATCCTATGGTTTTCTATGGCTCTCTGAATGAAGACCCACCACATTCCCTAACGATGCCACCGCTCGTCCGCGGTCGCCTGTTTCGTGAATCTGAGCCTTTCTGATTCACAACTAACCCTCAATTTGGTGCTCATTTCTCTACCCGCGATGTGGGGACGCACCAGGTGTTATGTTGCTCGGTATAATACTACCATCGTTACCTGACAACATGACTGGCACCGTTTATATATTTGGGGTGAATCGGGGGTGCTGGATTATTGGTGTCCCGTCTGCTGTTACAAGTTAATGTGATGCGTTACTTCAGAGCAATTCAGTGAATTCTGCCAATTCTCCTTTTTCAAAAAGTTGACGGACCTTTTTATCGAAAAAAACTTGAACGAAGAAAAGATAGCCAAGTCACTTTGGTGTCGTTTAAGAAAGAGCTCCGACGCTCTAGTGCTATTTTACACCCGATGCACACGACTGCCGGCATTCTGGCAGCTTTGCTGGAGCGGGATCGATTGACAAATTTCTATGGGCGAAAAATTTCAGCGCGCACGGAGCTTCTGATATCCGATCACTCATCAGCCTGCATTCGTTGGCGTTGCGTGCTTAGGTTCTTGTTTTCCACCAAAAGTATCTATTGTCCGCATTACACAAATCACTTTGGCTCACAAATACCTGATATTTGGCTTTATTTTCTTGCAGATACTTCATTCTTATTTTGAGGAATCACAGTCTTCATATAAATTCGTATGCTGATAAAGAAAATCGACAATAATCAACCTCAGAACAGTTAATTCAGCATACGGGATTTGTCTATTCGCTTCTTATACGGTATGTGCTTGAGGACTTTCTAACAGGTTATCTGGCTGGCAGCTTTCCCCCCCTCTCTCTCTCTCTCACTTCTGTCTACTTCATTTCTAATTCTGCTTGGTCATTCAACACCTTGTGATTGTGCTGCTTGGCTCTTTTAACAACGACTATTGGACATTTGTGCACCAGTGTGAGTAGTGCTGTCCTCTGCAAAGTTCACGTAATGCCATTACGCTAAGTGCAAATTGACCTCGATGGTAGCTCACGAACAGCCAGTCACTTGAGGTGTAGTTGCTATGTGCCATTTGTCACCGATATTTTCAAAATCGTCTTCACTATTCATCTTTCGGCCCTGCGTACCCCCGTTATTTACGTTTATAATTGTATATGAAATACCTTCGTGTAATTCTCTGGGCTTAGTTGTTCTCTTTGCGGACTGTTTCCATCGTTATAGGTAATTCTGTGTTGTTTTTATCTTCCATTTATTTTGTGTTCCATTTTGGTCATCCAAATGTTATCCGATAATACTTGGTTTCTCTTTCTCTCAATCTCTGACTACGTGTCGATTCTCGCTAGCAATTCATCAGGACAGTTTCTTTGTAAAAATCCGAAAGCCTATTTCATCCACGGTCAACATCGGAATCGTACGTGCCATATGACGCGAAACTATCAGATGTGCACTTCGGTCTTTCATGTAACCCATTACTGTTCCAAACACAAATTGCCGTGTGATAATAACGAGTTTATTGTAACAAGGTGATATGTATTGTTATGTGAACACATACCAATGTAGATGCAATTGCCTGATGTTACTAGGCCACGATGAACGATTAGTTATTCTCTGAATGAGTGCTAGCATACCAGAGCACTTCGTTGGAACATTGGCTATGCTTTATTGTATCCGGACTTTTTGCAATGTTCGCGTTGACAAACGTACACAACGTAGATCGTTGAAAAAAAAAATATTCCATCACAAGAAACAGCGGTGTTCGGGTTGTTACACTGTTCCGTGTTGCGGTCCGCATAACACTGGTAGAATGGAAATGAATTGGGTGTTGTTTTGATCCAACAACAACAAAAAATAAAGAAGCCCCTGTATTGCCGTTCGCGACGCACAGCTTCGTTTTCTTCTGATCCTCGGTTCGCAGCCCCCGCTGGATCGCTAGCTGAGCTGGACCATACTTGTGCCGACTGAAAGCTGAGAAAACTTTGGCAAATGTTTTCTGCAGTTTTGACACACTGCACTTTGTGCGTGGATGCGGCCTCGATGAAATGTTCGCGAAACGGAAACGTTAGTGTAGTTTTGTGGAAATTAGCTTGTCTTAGCCACGTCGAACGAAAAAACTAAAATACAAGACGTTGCTGACAACGCTTCGACCCTCTTAAAAGCCTTTCTCAATCAGTCAATCTCACGTTACAAGCAATTATAAGGCGATGAGATCATGACATCATGTAGTACTGTGATGTAATTCGAGCTTTATAATTGCTTTTTAATGTAAGATTAACTGAATAAAAGACTTGAGAAAGGCCCTCCAAGAAGATTGAAACGTTGTTTTGTTTTTTCCCCCTTCGTCGTTGCTAAGACAAGCTAATTTTCTTAATAATCATGAGCACGACGCCCAAGTTTTTCAGTGAGATCCGTTCCATTCATGGATCTCATGTGGTTAAAATAATCTGTTTTACGATTTCACGACAGCACCTGCAAAGTTGCCGTTCTTCAGACTGGTCAAGGTTCTTTGGTTCAATGGAAACCGTGATACTACTACCACAAATAGTCTTCCGTTTTCTCATAAGATCAAATCGTTATGAGCCATTTAGTCAGTGGCAATTGCATCTCGTTCGCCATTGTCCCAATCGATAAACATACCGGGAGAGTCCAGCCGAATTATTGCTGTTGTAGAGATCAGTAGTCCACGCGGTTAAGTGTTTTATGTATCTGAACTAATTCCTGTTTGTTATTATTATTACATACCTAAGTGTGATGAACCGCAGACGGGGCGAACCCCATAGTCACGACGATCCGCTGTTCAGTGGTGGAAACCCATAACCTATGCTGCGGGACTTAGAGCGGTGAAACACATAAGGCCCCGATAGGTTAGGTGTGGTATTTAGCAAATGAGCATGATTACTCAGAACGCAATAAGTGAACGAGCTAGGAGTTAATAGGATACACTTGCGCTCCATTCCTCGTAGTGGCAAGGACGAATTTTTCCATAACGATGTTCGAGAGTTGATCCACCTTCCGATCTCCAGAGATGCACGATTTATTAGCCAGAGTAATTTTGATATCACCAAATTTCTGGCAGCAGAGACTCTGTTAAGGCTTACACGATTCCAGATTTAGACGCATCCATTGGCATATAAAGAATCGGTTAGAGAACGTCTTGAAACCCGAATTTATCTTTATATCTACTGTTATTTCTATTCGCCTCTCACCCCAGACTTTTGACTGAAAATGGTTGATTTTCAGTCTGCCTTCGATCATTCATGCGCTTCTGACAAGAAAACGGGATAGAGCAACAGCAGATCAGGACTTGTTCGACCGAGTTCGTTTACTCCAGATGTGTAACTGCTGGTGTTTGTTTGTTTGTTTTTGCGCGCGCGCGCGCGCATGTCTGTATGCAGGCCCACGTCCATCTAAATGTCTTGCGTGACTGTTTCTAATCAAGGTGATCTCGTAACGCGGCAGCGATCGATCTAGACCACCGACCTGTCCGCTCGTCCAGCAGTCGGTCAGTGTTATTCGAAATTTGAGCTGTGTTTGTCATATACAAGGACACTTTTGTATGTGTTTATACATAAGTAATTTATCCCTATATCTGCTCTATAGATAACGGACGTATAATGTTTAAGTGACAAATTTATCCATTTTGAACAAAAATTTCTTCGTGGTCAAGATCGATCGATGGCTGGTGTTTTATCCGGCGAACATTTTCAGCCTGTGTGGTTTGTTTGACGTTACTGATCGTAGCCAGGGCAGGGAGGACATAAAAGCCGGCAGCACGAAGTTAATAAACGTTCAAATGACTAAGTGACAGATGAGCCAATCTCTTTCGATATAAGATAATCCGCTTCATTGGTTCTGACTTGAAACGGGCAAATCGGGAGACGTAACGTTCTAATTCATTTAGTTTTGGTCATTTACGAAAAGCAGTTTCATATGTGATCTCAAGTAAAACGAGTGGTTGAAAATTAATGATATTAAAAAACAATACTCATCGTGCAATGCACGATGACAAAGATGGTGAAACACGATTGTTATGCTGATCTGGGGGTATTAGTCATTGGTGAAATGACAAGGAAAAGGGAGGATATCTCGCATTTAAACACGCATCGGGGGAATTAGTTCGATGGTTCCGCATGCTTCGCAGATATCCACGTGTGATATTCAACAACTTTCGGGCACTACACGAATATTCGCTTGCAGAGTGACGCAACCTCATTTTTCGTTGACAGGATCATCCCCAGCGCGTCACTCATGTGTGTGTATTCAGTTGCAGGCAATGAGTTTTGTCAACGATCATCTGTGACCTCCGTTTCCCTTTATCGGATCTGAATCTTTCCTTTGAAATGAGTTACATCATTCGCTTCCCCCCACGTTTCAACGAATACATCGCTCTGTTTTGGCCAACCTGGGAAAATTGAGATGTGCATGTTGTGCAGCGATGTTGATCGGAATGATCGTTTTTCTCGCGTGAAGGATCCTGCGTCGACTGCGATCTGGGCAAATGATGAATACAATGATACTCATTATATATACGAGCCATGACAACCATAACAAACTCATTCTAGAAATTCTAACTTCATAGTATGGTAAACTATGTTCACGTTGACTCCGCACTCTCCCGACTAGTGTCATCGGACTATAATGCGACTAGTGGAGACTCGCTGGCATTTGTGTCGCTAATTACCGAAACTTGTTGCATGGTGCCAGATACGATTCACTTCCGAGTATCCGCTTCGNTCATCTGTCACCGATCTGAATGTCCGTGCAATACCATTGCAATTTTTCTTGCATCCCTCGATTCAAAAGTCTGTCATGAATTGTGGTAATATTTGGACAAATTTGCTGTAATCTCAATCAAACAAAAGATCAACAGATTATTGTAATTTCTATTGGTTCTTTATTTTTGCGATTTTTCATATAGTTCATAACTTGCCAATCCCGATCCTAGATCGTTTCACCAATGCATGCTCTCTGTGTGTGTGTGTGTGTGATTGCACTAACTCCACCGGATTCCTTATACGAATCATTAAAAGAGCAAGACAGCTCATCCGAACAGTGGCCACGATTTAGACCAGTCGTCATCATCGCGACTCAGATAGGCCAGGGTTCTGATTCTCACGAACGCATTGCAGCGGGATGCGAAGCTCAAACGAATTTCGTTCACTAGGCGCATGCTTTCTCTCGCTCGCTCTCTGGCTTGCAAACACGTAGGTGCACGTACGCACATACACACGTGCGTGCATTCATGCACAGTCAAACGCACAGCGCTGGAACGACCCGCTCGTGGTTGTCACTGTCCCGTCGCCTCGCCATGCTTCGCATCCCTGGTCCGGGTATCGACCGGTGACTAAGCTCGTTTCTTCCTATGCTGTATAGTGTGTTGTGTGTGTACGGGCAAACCAATCATGTGCTAGGTAGATAGGCTGGTTAGCAGGCAGACAGGTGTGTGTGTGTGTATGAGCTAGTCGACCGGTCTCATCATGTATGCCTGGATATCCCCATAGCATACTAATCATACAAAGTGCTGATTAGGCCATGTCCACAAGGAGAGAACATCGTGTGTATAGGGGATCTTTTTTGGCTTCAGACGAAGAGGTGCACTGTCCTGTCAGCACTCAGACCGCATTTTTCACCCACCGTGGGCATTCTTGTCTATCTGTCGCATTCGATGGCTCGCACACGCACACAAGTTCGGTTGGTGCAGGACTGTTAAACATGCGAGGCCTCATACGGAACTAATGAAACTCGTTCTAAAAGTGTTTTATGCATCCATTTTATCCGACTTTGTTTGTCGTTCTGTTTTCGTCTGGATCGTGTATTGTAGCTGTGATGTATTTTAAGCTGATGAAAAATAATCCTTTGATTTGCGTATCTCTCCATGCGTGATGGTACTTTGTTACTGAATGACAAGGTCTGATATTAGAAAAGCGAGAAGATTCTCGTTCCTAGAACATCCAGAAATGGTCAGCTCTGATCCCAGTATTCAAATGTGCCCTACTTAGTGGAAAAACCGCGAATTCAGTCGGTGCCATCAGTCACGGTTGGACGCGTCTTTTTCACCAGAAAAGCGCACACAGGGCCCTAAACCATGAATAATAGATCGCTGTGTACTATAGCAATCCATTTGACGAGACTTTTCACTTGTTTCCAATAGCGTGGTTTCTCTCTGATGCGGCTTTTGATTGAATTTCGCACATAGATGACCACTTATGTCCAGTTTGGCCTGTCGTCGGCTATATCTTACCCGCACGGTGACACTGTCACCAAAACCGCCGTAGGTTGTGTCGGACGCCATGCACGAACTTCTGTAGTCACCCTGGTTACGAGTTTGTCCCTGCCCATCTCAACTTCCAAAGCCATTTCCGGATGCACCTACCTCGTCCTCAAAGCTTTGCTGTCCGGACAAATCGATCACGAGACACGATGCTGTAAAAAACACTGATTCCGAAGGTAGGGCCTTTGCGCCAACTCAACAGGGAAGCTGTAAAACGATGATTGTGTTCAGTTTTTCTGGTGAAGTTCGTATTTCCATGCCGTACCCTCCCTCCAATAACTGTGAATGATTTTCATCGTAACCTGTTGAATAAACATAGTTAGGGCATCTGAATTTTTATCGATTTAGTCAACATGCATTCTGTTCAGTCCTGGCGATACAGTAAACACATTCACTCCGGGAGCAGTCATCATTTGAATCAAGCAATCTCCATGGTCTATTGAAACAATGTACGACCGATGTTAGTGGCATCTCTGACTTCTATATAATCGTTGGTATCTGTTTCATTGAATCTAACTCGTATAGATTGCTGATCAGCAGTATAGGTGATACTGATCTCATCGTTCAAATTATTGTCTCCGTCGATCTTCAATTCAGTTCAGTTCTTACAGCCATTAACCATGCACTTTCGTGCCCCGGTTTTGGCTGCCCCTTTGGATGAACAAAAGAAGACAGAAAGTTGAAAGTAGAGTAGAGCAGAAAATGGAGAATTTCAGTGGTCTAAGATTACAAAGAATTTTAGAAGATGCACAAATGCCACTGTTTACGACGCAGCCATATCGCTCAGTGTCTCTAACCATCAATTACGATTATTCCGAGATCCCCATCCAGAGATTCTTACGAGGTCTTTATGACCCAGACTCCTGGTTAGGGTTTTCATACCCTCACTCCAGGTCTTAGTTTGACCACCCTTGGCTTTATTCCAGCCACTGCGTGCCTCTGGGAACATCGCTTGCCGTGACAAGCGTAACACGTGCCCCAACCAACGTGATCTATGGAGGTCGACTGCTTGCTCCAGTGAGCGGTTATCTAAAACGGTTTTCTAAAACTCGTCGCTTAACCCCAGCATTGCTCTTCCGGCTGCCCCACTAGATTCGTGCAATGCGGCGTAGACGGCCAAGTTTCTGCGCCGTATAGTAGAACTGGTCAAACTGCCGCAGCATACACTCGACCCTTCGCAGACAGCCGGATGTCGCGACGGCTCCACAGATGTCTCAAGTTGGCAATTGTCAATCTAATAAACTTTTCTCAGCTCCGTGTTTGCTCCATGAACTGAACAGAGTGACTTATTCGTTGGGAGAGTAGTTTCCAAATGGTAACGCACACACAGTCGCTCGTGCCCACGCATTCTTTGACTGAAAGACCAGCGTAATCAACCGGAAACAAATATTGTGGGATTATCACTAACTCCTCGTCATTCTGGTAGTCGAAAATCGCCGGCCTCCATAGCACCTGACAAGTTCGATCAATTTCCACGATTCGCTCAGCGCCCTGAATAGACAATGCAATTGTCACGGTTGAGCTGCAACGCACACCTAAAGTTGGACAGGGCTCATGGTCTTTCGCGTACCCACCTCAGAGTGCTTAGTGAAATCCCTAACATAATCTAATTCGTTTTTGAACTAAAACACTTCGCCGGATGCTGCTTGTTCTGTGTCACCAACTGGCTGTTTTATGGCCCTTAGCGGTGGATCACACATGTTAGTGGCAGTACTCGCCTCTCCAGCTCTCGTATTACATGTGTGAGGCTGTTAAAAAGTGCAATTGGTATCATGAAAAACGTGTTACAAATAGCGATGCTACTTCCTATAGAGTAACGACGAGGAAAATCCATCTAAACATGTGTTGACATTGAACTTTCGGTCATCCGGTGCTAAATATGATATAGTATATGAAGAAATTCTGCATTATAAAGCCTTGTTCAGACATCTATGTCTATATTTCAGTCAATTATATGTTCATCGTTACACTGAGATAGAAACGGTGCATACGTCTTATACAGCAATGCTTAAGGCGTCGGAGTTGGTCCTGAGCACTGACTTCATCCCTCCCCACACACACACACACACACACTGGTGTTTCACCATTTCAACTTAATCTTACTAACCTATCGTCCAAATGTGTTTATACGTACCTTGAGATAAGCAGTTATTAAAGTATACCGAGGATTGTATCAGCAACCACTTTACATCGTTCATGTAGTCTTATTCACGGATTTTCTAATGATATTCTAATTAATGGTTGCCCAAATTGCACAAGTTTTATTTTTCCCGAAACCATTCATTCCGGTGCATTTGGCTCCGGGCCATTCGTCGTAATTAATAATTGCATCGCTTGACATTGCTCTCCACTCGGAAACATAAGTTTCGGTGTGCTAGCCAAAGCTGCAAATCCCATGGAAATGTCGCATTTGTTAATATGATTTTGATCATATAACACTGGAGAAAAATAAATGGCCTGGGGCGAGGGGGGTTGGCGAATTGCACTACTTCCCAAATCCTACCCACATTCACACCAAAATTTGTCAGTCCACGTTGTTTATACCAATCGTCATCGATGAGTCTGGGAATTATTGTAATATGAAATTATTTATCCTCAAAAATTGCTATTCACCACCGATCTCCCGCTGTACAATCATGGGAATGGTTTATGATAAATGATCAACGTTCACACAAACGGAGAGACACTTTCATGGGAAAACAGGTAACGGTGGGTATAGAGCTAATACAAATCCATTCGGTTCACCTTTGGCACCGGGGCTTGCATGTACACAACATGCCTCCTTGTCTTGTGTTTTGCCTATCCGCTAGGTTCTCTCGATCATCGTTATGTGCTCTCCACAGAACAAATCGTGAGACTGGCCGAGTGAAACCTCACATGACTGTGTTTAGCGAGAGTTTCTCCTCCCAACTGAACACGTTCGGGAAGATTTCTAAGCTCTGAACTAACGACGTTACATTCACCCACAATTGACTTACTTTGTGACTGTCTTTCAAAACGATACGAATGGAACGCTTTTAGTTAATAGTATTATTTGTATCTTAACGATGTCCTCGTCAGAGATATTTCCATACTGACGTTCGTTTTTCCTCATATTTGAAGAACTTTGTAGCACGATTAGCGTTGGTATCATTTACACTTCTGACAGTGCGGGTAACACAAGTAATCGTGTCAAGTATCACAATGTGTCTTTTAGTTGCTGTTTTCTACATTTTCCCTTGTGTTGGTGGTCCAGCGGTCGAATTCGCGGTCACCGGTAAGCTTTTGACCCTTTGTTGTCGTACGACCATACGTGATCTAGTTTGATCTTATGTGGTTTACCACTCCGAGTCCCGGACTTTGAGGTACCGGTTTCCATGTGTGAACAACAGATTCTCGTGACTATGGGGTTTGCTCCATCTTCTGTTTATCACACAAAAAGTGTGTGTAATTAAAAAATTAAATAGTTCCTAGACCGGTTATGGTTCAGACCTTGAGACACGACACATCATGAGAACTTGTTAATATATTTCTTTTGTTCCCAAAGGGTAATTGTGCTTTCATTTTCCCCAATTCCATGGGACCGTTCCTGTCG